ATAAAAACAATATATTAAGTATGTATATTAATAAAATATATGTATATAATTCATCGGTTCGGTTCGGTTATTTCTTCGGTTTTTTTTCGAATAAAATCATAACCAAACCAAATACTATCGGTTTTCAAAAATCTAAAACCAAACCAAACCAAACCCAAGTAAAATCGGTTTTATTTTATCGGTTTGGTTGGATTTTTCAGTTTGGATCGGTTTTTATCCAAACCGTGAACACCCCTACTCAAAAGTAAAGAAGAAAATCCTTGTTGAGAGGGAACATTCCAGAACATAAATATTTCAGTTAATGGCAGCTGTTGTAGTTTTAGTGGAAAGATGAGAAAGAGCCACGTAGTATTCCAAGAACCCCATGCAAGACGTACACGTATTCATCTTCATCCAGCATCACCGACTAACGTGGGCATTCCCAATTTAACTTCCTTATTCAAATCCCCATTTTCCCTCTTTACTTAACCGTCTCTCCATTTTTTTTCATTTAAGACAAAATTGAAGATGATGAATGTTTTCGCCATTTCTCTTGTACTTACCACACTTGTTACAGCAGGGGTTTTTTCTCCGAATCCAGAGAAGAAAGATGACGTTATTGTTAAAGATGGTCATAGAGTTGTAGTTGTTGAGTATGAGCCAAATGATGGACAAACTAAGGTATCAATTTCTCCACCTGAAACAGAGCATAAAGAGAAAACAGGGCATGTTTCAGTTTCAGATGTTAAAAATAAATTATCAGAAAAAGCAGAGGAAATTGAAGAAAAAATTGGTAGGTTTCATGGGATGAATGCTAGAGAACTTGTTTGTGATGCTTATGGGAAGTGCAAACATAAGATAGCAAGTGCACTTGAAGGGACTAAAGACTCTGTTACTGAAAAGATGCATGAAATTCAAGAAGATGCTAAAGAGGGGTTTGAGAAAGTGACTGGCAAAGCCCATGAGGCAAAAGAAACTGTTGGGAAGAAAGTGGATGAGGTGAAACAAGGGGCTAAAGAAACGGCTGAGAAAGTTAAAATAAAAGCAGTTGACACGACAAGTACACTGAAAAATCATTTGATGAAGAATGCTTCGGAAGATCTTGATTTGATTGAAGAGAAGGTGAAAGAAGATGCACAAAGGCTTAAAGTGGAAGTCAAAAGAGACTATCATGTTGGTCGTAGGTTTTTGTCAGCATACATCTTCTCAGCCAAGAGCTTTAGATCTTTGATGGGAATAATTCATTTGCTGGGATTTGCATTGTCTTATGGGGTTTCTGTTTGGATGACTTTCATATCGAGTAATATCTTGGCAAGAGCTTTGCCGAAGCAGCAATTTGCAATGGTACAGAGCAAGATTTACCCTGCTTACTTCAAAACTATGTATTATGGCATCGCTACGGCGTTTTTGGGCCATATGTTGAGCCAGATGCTTCCATATTATGCGAATCGGACTGAAAAAATCCAAGGTCTCATTTTTCTGGCCATATTCTCCATGACTTTGTTCAATTGTTTCTACTTGGAGCCTCGAGCCACTAAGGTATGCATTTAGAAATCTTAATAGCTTAATATTGGTGAGAGTTTGATTGTTCACCTACCCATTTTTTCGTTTGGCTCCCAATTTTATTATAAAATAAAAATGTGAGTAGAGTAGCTTAGTTGGTTGTCTACATTCATTTGGACAGGTGATGAGGGAGAGAATGAAAATAGAGAAAGAGGAAGGAAAAGGGAAAGACGTTTTCAACGTAGAACCAAGCACATCAAGTGTAGATGCTTTCGAGGATCCAACAGGTATTAAAACAGGTAAATCAACAACTCATGAACCTCTTGAAACCCAACAAGAGTTGTCAGAGGAAACAGCAAGATTGAAACCACAAGTTGAAAGATTAAGTCAGAGGCTAAAGAAGTTTAATGTAATCTCATCATTACTCAATTCACTCACACTAATGGGTCTCTCATATCACCTTGTTTATCTTAGCCAACTCCTCCATTCCAACCCTTATTAATTTTGTAATTATTCGCATGTAAAATCATACTTCTACCGTTTAATTTTTTGTGTTTACTTACTATTTCAGACTAGTTCATTTTAATTCAAACAGTCAGTTTTTTTATATTATCAGTACGAGTAGGGCTGGCCATAAAATTACGAAATTCAACTACTTTCTGGATTTTATTTTTAAAGAATGTATGATTTTTTTTTTATTGAATATTGAGTTCAGTATTATGATTGTTTGAATATTCATTACGGTGATCTTAATCTTTGTCAACTATACGAGCAAAACTATTAAGTGAAACTTTGTTTTAAAATAAAAAAACATCACCACTTTATTAAAAGAGACTTAACTTTGTCTTTGAAAAATGATAAGTTCCACATAATTTTTAAAATTCTCGTCTTTTTTCCATGCTCACTGACCATTTAAGGCAGTGAATAAGCAATTTGCCGAAGAAAAAACTACTCTAATAAAGGATCTAATTAAGACAAATACCAATCAAACTAAAATAGACCTAACTTTGTCTTTGAAAAATGATGAGTCCCACGTAACTTTTAAAAATCTTGTAATGCTTGATACTTTTAGTTTGATCGGTATGTCTTATTCGACCCTTTATTCGAGTAGTTTTTTCTTTGGCAAATTACTTATTCATTGCCTTAAATGGTCAGTGAAGCATGGAAAAAAGACAGGATTTTTTAAAGTTATATTCGAGTAGTTTTTTCTTTGGCAAATTACTTATTCATTGCCTTAAATGGTCAGTGAGCATGGAAAAAAGACAGGATTTTTTAAAGTTATGTGGCACTCATCATTTTTCAAGACCAAGTTAGGTCTCTAATAATAAAGTGATCGAGTAATATTTTTTATTATCATCCGATATATATATATAGGCGTATCTAGGATTTCAATAAGATGGGTGCACGATTATGAAAAAATACTTCTTAAATATAAATTTGATTAGTTTGACTTTTAGGTTCTTAATATGAACTATCAAATTTTAAAAATTATAGGTTCAAAATATATAATACTACTAGTTTTAAATTTTAATATACACATTTGATTTAATTATAGAAAAAATTTATAGTGCTAATTTTTTTTAAGGATTTTCAATGTAACACACTTGAAAATTTTGAAAGATTTAAGAAAAAAACAAAAGAAAAATTAGTTGAAACACCAAAAGTGTAACCGATAACCATTTGGAGAGGTGTTACTCAAAAACAGAAGATAGATATAAGATTTAAATTTCTATCATCACTCAGAGAGGTGCATCCGATTTGAACGTGGGTTCACATATCTATATTTAAATATTTTTTTAACATATAACTCTACTATATATGATCTAGAGAGGGGAGCATTGATTCACGTGAACCCATGGCACCCCCTCTAGATATATATATATATATATATATATATATATATATATTCAGCTTCAATACTTCTCTATGACCAAACTATATTGATTTTTTTAAAAAAAGACCAAACTATTAATGTGTCGATATCTTTGAAAAATTTATTTGATTTTATTCTTGAAAATCAAACCTGTCATTTATGTAGAAAATACTACATTCGTCAACTTTTAATTGTCATTGTTTCCTTTTTTAGAGTAAAACGATAAATGTTTTGACTAGCATTTTACGATATATTTTTTCATCATATTGATATGCGAAAAATACAATTTATTGTACTTTTCGTATAATTTTTGAATATCTAAAATTTTTTGTTTAAAATATCGAATTAATGTAATTTAATTTTACTTTGAAAATTAATCAAATTAATTTTTAAAAAGCGCAACATAATAATTAAAAGTAGACCAAGAGAATATTGTTATGAAATATATTACATGGATGTAGCTACTAAATGTAATTTTCGGTTACTCTTCACAATTATATATAGTTATCTTCCTCACATTCGTAGAGATTAATGTCATATTTATGACGTTTTTTTATGTTCCTCTACACAAGACGAATTTATGTGCATGAGCGGGAGTTTTACGGTGTCAGTTATTTCGATTAAAAATTATATATTACAATTGTCAATTATTAAATTAAAAATGGCGAACGGTGCAACTGGTAAAAGGTTTATCTAAGGGTTTGAAATCCTCTTTTTTGTGAGGGATTCAACTCTTCCTCTTTTTTTCTTTCTTTCTTTTTTGTCTTTTTCATGGGCTTCGGCTTTTTTTCCTCATTACTTCTTCTTTATTTGTGATTACTTAATTATCTAATTAACTGTTTTTTTGCTTCACTTAGTTCTTGATTATTATTTACTCTCTCTTTCACTAAGTATTAATTTTAATTGATATGAATATTGTGTGTATATTCTATATTAATTACAGATCAATATTTATTTATGAACGTCTCATAAATATTAATTAAAATATATTTAGATAGTATCTTCTTTTTTTTTAAATGATGGATATAAAACTTTTGAATTTAAAGGTTCTTTCGATCTTTCACGTCACACTAAGTGGAGATAATTGGATTGACGCTATAATTTTTTTTACTTTTTCTCAACTATATGGTATTAGATGATTTATACAAATTCAAATTATTAATGTTATGAAAAATCTCTTGTTTTCTTAAAGTTATAGAGTTCTTTATTCCTAAAAAAACTACTTAGGTGAATATCTTTAATATTAGCATATCTAAAAAAAATACCGAATGTTCATGTTTGATTAATTTATTTATAAAAATAGAAAAAAAAATTAAATAACCGAAATTATAATTTATAATTGAAGGAACTGACCCGTTTACCCTATTTAAACAATATGACACCCATAATCTTTGAATTCTGGATCCGCTTCTACCTCTATATATGCAACTATATAAATATAGATATTGAGAATTATGTTATATACACTTGAATATACTTGGAGAAGAAAAAAAGACGAAAGTTCTCTTTGCTATTTACGAGGTCGTTTGGTAAAGCGTATAAAAATAATGCTCAATAGAGTGTATTAGCAATGCTTGTATTAGTTTTGCATATACTATTTCTTATTCATTATTTGGTTTGGTGTATATTAAAAATAGTATGCATTATATAAAAAATATTTATTTTACAAAAATATCCTCCACAATTATGATGAAAAGTAGGAATGAAAATGGGGCGGGTTGGAGCGGGTGCGGGGCAGGTTGAAGCTTAACCCACTCCGCCCCGCATAAAATTTTCTCCTATTTATAATTCGCCCCGCCTGGCATAATATTTTCTCCTATTTTTAACTAGAAAACATGGCCGCGCGAAAAAAAATATTAGATTCATGATTTTTTTAAAATAGTATTTTAATTTCGAAATTCAAATTCAAATTCAAATAAACTAAATGCGACGAGAGGGAGTTGCTCGGATGGTAAGCACCCCTCACTTCCAACCCGAAGGTTGCGAGTTCGAGTCACCAAGGGAGCAAAAGGGGTGGGAGCTCCTAGGGAGGGATAAAAAAAAGTAAAAAATAAATAAATAACTAAATACTAAATTCTTACTCACTTTAACTATATTTTAAATTTCTTCCTGACATATTAACTTCATTGAAAAAGAAAACAATTCCTTAAATTAGCACAATTTAAATATCCCATTCCTATTCTTTTATATTGAAGTAGTAATAATTGAACGTTAATATGCTTTTATCCATTTAAATGTGTTCTTTTCTAGAAGTTATGATATAGTAATAAGTATAAAAATCACTTAGTTATCAGGTCATATACACTTTAAGTGATAAATAAAATAAATGCTTATAATATGTCATTTTCTGATGTAAATGTAATTGTTAATGATCTTGTTGAAGAAAAAAATAACTAAAAATTAAATAAAAAATACATGATTAATAGCCTTAGAGAAACTATCTTAAATAAAATAAAAATATTAAGATCCTATATATAAGATTTTTAGTACAATGTTTTTCTATCATATAACTGCAATTAATCAACAACATAAGCATGTGTATAGAAAACAAAGTACAATATTAGTGATAAACAATTATAAATGTGAAAAACTAACATAGTAATTACTCCTCTTTCCAAATTCTTCTAAATGACTCTCAGGAGCATTATTAAATTTCAAATGATTTTAAGTTTTATCACCATATTGACACATTTTAAGAAACCACACCATTGAACAAAAGAAAAATAATAATATGAAGAAAAAAAATACTCTATATATAATAATTTGTAACATAATTTTTTTTAACTTTTTATGTTAAAAGATTAAAAAAATTCTAGAGATATAAATAAGAAAAGGGAAAGAATTGAAAAAATAGATGAATATGAAATTATGAATCATGACCCAAGTGATGTCTCACTTTATCAAATTTTATTGTATATATGTAAAGATTTTTATGGATACAAAGAAGCTACTAAATTATCAATAATAAAAATGAGATATTAGACTATGAATCTTACAACTTATGTCTTATCATTTCACATTATTAGGGAAGTTCAATAACACATATTTTGACAAATCCCACAATATGTTCTAAATTAGTTAAGGTAAATTGTTTGAATGTAGGTTAACTTTAAAAAAATCAAGAATAATTTCAATTAGCTTATCAATTGAGAAATTAAAGTCTAAATAAAGAATGACATTAAAAGAGAAGTAAGCATTAGTTGTAAACAAACAAAATATCAAGAAAAATTGTGCATGACCATTATCATTAACTAAAGCAACTAAAATGTCAATAGGAAAAATGGGTTATTACTCTATCAATAATCATCAATTTTTTGTGCTTGCCCATAAAATCCACATTAATATAAGAAGTAAAATAATGCATATTGTGGTAATCCACAACATAATATAATATAAATTAGAAAAGATAATATTCTACACATTAATGTGAAAATAGATCAATTGAGAAATCAAAATTTAAATAAAAAAACAACATTAGTATAGAAATAAATACAAGAATGAAGCAATATAATAAGATAACATGAATAAAATGAACAAAACATAATTATTTTGTTCCAAATAAATTCAAGAATCTAATAAAATAGCAAAACCAACTAGAAAAATAGTCATCTAAATGATAATGATGAAATTGTGATACAAAAAAGAAAAATAATTGAAAAGAACAGTCATCTAAAATGATAATGATGAAAGTATGATACAAAATATCATTATTAAAATCTTATATAATATTAATATTTGTAATATAAAAAAAATGGTACCTGAAAATTGCCTAAGCAGTCCCATTATAAGGGAAGCAATTGGTGAACAAAAAAATATTTCTCCATGACATAAATAGTTGGAAATTTATAGTAACTATGAAAGGAGATAATGCTTCAACTCCACAATTGATTTTGAGACAAAAAAAACATTTAATGTCATAAAAGAGTATAAATAATAATTAAAAGAGAAGATCAAGAGTTGAAGAATTGGTCATGATCTTAGACGTGGGGGGAGAGGGAGGGTTGATTGTTTTTACCAATAAATTTAATAAATTAATTACAAGTGATTATGGATAAAGAATAAAAGATTAATTAAAATATTTAGACATTAAAAATTCCAAAAAGAGAAGAAAAATTATAAATATAAATGGAGGCCATAGAGAGGTGCCACAATGAACTAAATTCACATACACTACAAAAGATCGGAGCGAGAGATACGAAGAAATAGCTCTACATGTGCAATATTAGTCGATACAATACAAACACAAAAGAGGAAACAAAATTCAAACGAAACTCACCATAAATAATAGAACAGTCTGGTGCAAGAATGGAGAAAAAATTAAGGTACACTCCGAAGTGAGGCACAAAATGATTGCAGAAGATGAATATTCAAGATTGAGATGTTTGTCCAACTTAGCTTTTGAGTTGAACCTGCAATTACACATAGCACAAAGGAAAAGGATTATAATAGAAAGGGTAAAAGAAAAACTCAAAATTAGCTAATTCCAAAGCAAAAAGAAAATCTGGCCAAGCATTTAAAAGACAACTGAATTCCTCCTAAAGAAATCTTGTGTCAAAAGCAGGTACTTGGCTTCTTTAAACCTACCACTATGTTAAGTTGTTAATTCCATGGACTTAATAGGGGTGCTTATCAATCGGTTCGATCCGTTTTGTGAATTACTGATTCGGTTTATCAGTTTGTAAACACCTTAAATCGATAACCAAACCAATAAGATATTCGTTATCCTGGTAATAACACAATCTAGCTAAGGAATTTGTTTCCTCGCCACTCCAAATAGTATGAAATCCTTCAAACATTCAAGTGAGCTCGTGAAGACGAACTATGATCTTTAAAGCTCTAACGTGCACATCATATATCTTCTTCTTGATAAAAATATTAGGTCCCCAAAAATTTAGAGCTTAAGGCGTTTGTCTTCGAAAAAGAGAGATTAATTATAGCTTATATTTTTATGCATCCAACATTTTTGATTTTCTTGGTTCACCTAAAAGAATAAAAGATTAGAATTAAAAGGATACAAGTTTTAATTTAGAAGCAACATGAAAAAATAAAACTTTATGATGGAAAAAAGAACAGAGGAAGCCCATTTACTATTAGTCAAGTGTTAATGTAGAATCTTAATTGTTATTAAAGAAGTTAAAGAAAAAAATAACCAGTCCAGCTATATTTCATAGGGTCTATTCGATTACGATAACAAAGTAATTTTACTGTGATGTCCTTGTTATTAGGTGTGTGTGCTAATTGTTGTGGACGGAGGGGCATGGTAGTTTGGTAAGTGCACACAAGCTCTATGAAATATAATGTTGGCGGGATGTAGGCAACCTACCTTGACACAAGAATAAATGGTTGATCCCATGACTTGAACCAGTGACCATAGGTCAGATAGAGACAATTTTACTGTTGCTCTAACACTTGCCTTCTTCGCTGGAATAGTTTGAAGGAAAAAAGTTACCGACACCTAATGTGTACACCAAACTACATTTTTTTTACCATGATTAGTAGTAGTAGAAGATAAGGTGAGAATCAGTATTAGTTAACAATAGTTAACTGGTTCTCTCTCAGTAGCCAACATGAAAGACACAAGAGATTGTGTGATTTAAAAACAATGGAGAAAACAAATTCAACAGACAAAATGGTGATAAGACTTTTAGAGTGCTATATAGAAATATAATTGTCATTCTTCATTCATAATCAAAGGAGTATCTTTATTAGAATGTTGCACTAAGTTTAGATTCAAGAATCGAAGTTAATCAATAGAGCTCCAATCTTAATTAATCCGTATATGTATCAACACTTCCCTCAAGCAAATAGGTCTACTATTCATTTATTTTAGCAAACATCCTTCACTGTACTATTCAATCAAGTCTTTACATCATACTCGAAGACAATCAGTAAGTTAAGGATATAGACCATTAGAGCCGATCAGTAAAAACATTCCATTGTTATTCAGGAACCTCGAATTTTCAACATTAAAGCTAATTTTGAAATGAAAGCATGATAGTACCTATTGTGATTGTTACAAAAGGGGCAAGGAAATCTGCCCCTGCACTTGAATTTGTGTTGTAGAGTGTAGTGTCCAAGCTCTTTCCGACACCAGAGAAGGCAGCAGTCTATTTTTTATGCGATAGAGACAAAAAAGAAAGAGTTGTCCATCTCTACTACCAATCAAACACTTGAGAAGAAGATAAAAAGAGTAATTCAATGATGGAAAACGGAGAAGAAGTAATTTACATTATACCCAGATGAATTTCGAGGTCTTCGTTGGTATGTAAGCAAAACATATTTCCATACCCTCTTATAGTTGAATTCATCACTGCAAAATTTAGATGAGTCTACACTTTTGGGGATAAAAGAAAAAGAATTGAAGAAACTATTAATTTTCGATTCCATTATTCAATTTCTCTATTTCGAGAAAAAGCAATGAATGTGGCAGAACATCAAAGAGAGAGTTAAGGCAGAACAATAACAATAGTAGACTTGAACTTAACTCATAAATTGGAAAATATGACAGAACCAGGAGAAGATTAAGAAAAAATTGGGAGAAAAACTAAACTGAATTTGCCGTGTGTGCGATTAACCACATCCCACAAACATGACCGGGGATCTGGATATGTTAACCATGGACAACACCTCTTCCACCTGCGCCAAAAGTTGAATATAACAATACAACAACAATCTCAAACTCAGTTATGAAATTGTAAAATTTAATCTTTTCCACAAGTAGATTAGGGCAAATATTGAAACAAAAGCTGACCTAAAATTGCACACCCAGCTGAGAAGATGAAGTTAATGAGCGGGTCTTGAATTCAAGTTCGGAGAAAAGAGACTTCTGAATACTTGTGAAGGAGCGGATGTTTCTCCATTGTTGGAACAAAGATATGATAGAATGGATTCTTCTAGAAATGTTGAGAAAACGCTAATTCGTCTTTCAGGTAAATGACGGATTTGCCCTCTATTTTGTCTTTTCTTTGAGGTAAATGACAGATTTACCCTTGGTCGTCATCTCTTCATTTTCTATAAAACAGAAAATACATAAAAGAGAATTCTAGGCCCGCCTATGTGGCAGCTTTAGAGTTTAGGAATTTACTTTCATGTTTCCTTTGTATTTTTTATTTTTTTTATCTTTTATTTTTACTTTTAAACCCACTTATTCAACTCTTGTGTCCCTTCAGACTATTGTATCATTTTGATTGTGTCTATTGAGGAACTACATATAAAACTAGGTAAATCATACCCATTACTATATCTTCTTCTTCGTGACAAATTTCATCTCTAATTTTTGTGAAATCTCGCCAATTCCTAGGAAGTCTACTTTGGATCTTCACTCAAAAAAAAAAAAAACTATAATGTCTTTGTAGTTTTTTCCTTCATTTAACATATCAAAAGAAAAGTATTCTAATTGCTCAATTCTTAAACAACTAAGCACAACCATGACAATTTTTTGATTCGTACCTAATTTTACTATAAATGATGATTTCATTATGCTAAACTCAAGATGTCGTCTTATCCTAAAGATTCATATCATGTGTCAAATAATGTATTGTGATAAGTCAAGTCAAAAACTAACAAAATCACGTCATGTGCAAATATGTTGACCACCAATATTAAAAGAAATAATTTGTGTGGATGGTTCCAATAACATTATATATATATACTAGGAGGGAATGACCAGTGCTTGAGCACATACCCAACATTTTACACTTCAAAATGATAGACACATGCGGATACCCAATGTTATGAATTAACCCCGGCCCGACAGGAACTTTGACGTCACAAAATCAGTTATTGGGTCAAAAAAGGTTGATTTGGGATCCAGACTGAATTAGAAACTAATTTAAAAGAAAGAGAAGTTAGGAAGAGAGGTTATGCGTATTATGAAGAAACCTTCTATTCCTCTCATCTTCTTTCTAGAGTCTTAACTTCTCATCCCCATTCTTATCTCTATCTCTAGTTATTTGATATTTCAGTACTTCTCCTCGTAATTCAAGTGTTGTTATTGTAATTTGAAATTTAATTTAAAACAAAAATTGACAATACCCTGGCAATTACTATTCTGCTCTTCAATCATATTTATTTAGTAGTAAAAGACTCTTTGTAAAAGACTCATTTACCCTTGGTTGTCCTTGGGCTTATCTTTCTAGAAAATTCCTCTTTAGTGTGTGGATGATGGATATTATTATTTAGTAGTAAAAGACTCTTTTACCCTTGGTTGTCCGGTCGTCTTCACTCTTCTATATAATAATAATATATATATAGATTTGTCCCGCCCCGCAAATATTCGCCCTGCTTATGTTATCTCTATTTGTTTCTACGTTTTGTTATTTTGCTAAAATAATTAAGAGCTTTTGCTCTTATATGTGCTCTTAAATAAACAATTTCTAAATTGCTAAATCAGAGAAAGAGGCAAGAGAGTAATTGTTGAGTTTTCTTGTCACGTCCTTAGTCTTTTACTAAGCACATGTGTGACACTTAACAATCTGCTCACGATCTTGCATCACTTGCCCACGATCTTGCTATGCCAAGTCAGCCTAAAACTCTAGGGATCGCTAAGAGAATGGAAAAAATAATACTAGAGGATTGCTAGGAAGAATTGTGTTGTAGAGAATTTTGTTGATTTTTGCTTGATGAATTTACAAATGGATGCCCCTCTATTTATACTACTAACTTAGGAGCTAAAGTGTAAATAATAATTGTTACATAAGTCCCTTGATATTTACAAAATAGTCATCTCTCTAGAATCTTCTACAATGCTAGAAAATTCCAAGGACCTTCCATGCAAATCCTAAAAATTCTAGAAACTTCCCTAAGAAATCTCTCTATTTTTTTAGAATCATCCACAAGGACAAGTCTTTCTCTTATGTAAGTCATCCACATGGGAAATTTTGTGTCATGTGGCACTTACATGGTACTTATATGGCATGATGACATGGTGGGTCGTCACACTCTCCCCCACCTGTTACGACAACCACGACGCATTGCTTCGGCATAAACTCGCGAATCTTATTTTTGAATAGCCACAAGTCCTCATACCGTTCTCGTGTAGCTTCTTTCGACGATTCTTTCGATGATTTCCCTTTCCAATGGTCGTGAAATACGATAATGGCTTTTTGTCTTTGTCTCTCTCAAAACTTGTAGTCGTTTTTAAGAACATCAGTTTTTCCTTCTTGAGCCCCTTCAAAAGTTGTATAACTGAAAATTGTGCTTGATTCTGATTGTGTGGTATAGTTAACGTAGGCACCATGCAAGTTCCTCTCGTTCCATGACCCAGAGACAATGGAGGTAGGGGTCAATCAAGGTATGACACTATGTGAAGAACTTTTATCCTAGTCAAAGTTATTCATCTTTGTAATGGTAAGGTTTGTCATACCTTTTCAATTGCCCAATTTGATACCAACATCATTGGCAACACCATGAGCATTTTAAGGATCAACATTTACGATTTTGACACGAGAGTTTGTTGGAGCATGTTTTAACTCTTGTTTTTTCGCTGCAGTCTGTGTCATAAAATTATGAGGTTCTCCAGTGTCAACTAATGCACGATTGGGCTTATTGTTTATGATAAGATCTACATACTGATTTACTGATTTCTATTCTTTTTAACTTGGATATCTGACTTTGTGATGGCTTCACATAGTCCAATCACTCATAGTTGAGCTGTGATCGAACTCTCTTCTTTCGCTTACTCCTTCTATTCACGTATCATAGTGCTAAGACTCCTTAGGTCCGGACAATCCTTGAAGTTTTATGGGGCCCTTCATATGTAGCAACCTTTTCTCTCGGAATGTGCTTACTTTTCTGCATAGCTCTGACGATCAATTGACTTCTTATTATCGAACTTATGGGTATCCGAAGTCTTGTGGTGTTGCTGATGTACTTCCTTGCTTTTACTAGAATCTCATCCACCCTTAGCAATGTCATCTTCTGACTTACTGCCTCAGTCTTTGTCATACTTTTCATTCCTGAAACCCACCAATGATTCAACTTCCATTATGACTTGATCTATATCAGTGACTCATCGACATTGTAATTCCTGCTTAGCTCAATTTTGCAACTCGTCCATTTAGTAGAACAATAAATCATCACAAGTGAGGTTGGGGATTTGAAGCATAAGGGTCATGAACTCTTTGATATAGTCGAGTATGCTCCATGTATGCTTCAACTCTCGAAATTTACGTCTTTCCTCGTACAAAACATTATTTGGAAAGTATTATCGTTTAAACTCGGCCTTGAACTGATCTCTTGTGATAATAGTGCACAAACCTCTCTTAGCATCAGCCGATTTATGTGTCCACCATAACATGGCAGTCTCTGACAAGTACAACACTGCAGTGTTGATCTTGGCATTGTCATCCCTTACATTTTCATGTCGGAAATAGTTCTCCAAGTTTCAAAAAGTTCTCTATGAACTTCTTTAAACATTGGTGGCATGGGAGCCTCAATCTTAGCCTCCCTCGTCATGCCAACATTGACCTGCTCTTTGAGTGCCTCTATCATTCCCTTCATGGCATCGATAGTTCCCAACAATATGAGCCTGTATTCTAAGGTAGCGATGGTCTATCTCATCTCTATCTCTGTTTGGATACTCCCATCCAAGTCATTTAAGATGTTTTTGATCTCTTCAAGAATATGCCCCTCAAGAACGCTTAGAGTGCATTTTACTTTACCCAAGCGTTGGCCAAATATCTCAACAACATCATCCCCGCATTAACCTTTGTAATCCCCTCTCTACCGATCGCTTACCTCAGTGGTAGAAGGTTTTTGGGATGAAAGCCCTTCATTTGGCTTAACATTCCTCTTTTTGCCAGTCTTTCTTGCCGGCAGCATCTTGGGTGACGTTGTCTTGAGTGTTAGCAACGTTGATTTTTCTGTTGCTTGTCATTCCTTAGTTGTAACCTTCATCTGATACCACATTGTCATGTCCTTACTCTTTTACTAAGCACACGTGCGGCACTTGACTACCTGCTCACGATCTTGCATCACTTGCTCACGATCTTGCTATGCCAAGTCAGCCTAAAACTCTAGAGATCGCTAAGAGAATGGAAGAAAGAACCATAGAGGATTGCTAGAAAGAATTGTATTGTAGAGAACTTTGTTGATTTTTGTTTGATGAATTTACAAATGGATGTCTCTATATTTATACTACTAACTTAGGGGCTAAAGTGTAAATAATAATTGTTACATTAATCCCTAGATAATTACAAAATAGTCATCTCTCTAAAATCTTCTACAATGCTAAAAAAATTCAAGGACCTTCCATGCAAATCCTAAAATCTCTAGGAACTTCCATAGGAATCTCTCTATATTTTGAGAATTATCCACAAGGACAAGTCTTTTTCCTATGTAAGTCATCCACATGGGCAACTTTGTGTCATGTGACACTTACATGGCGCTTCTATGGCATGATGACATGGCGGGTCGTCACATTCTTCTCTTAAATCTGATATGAGAGTTGAAAAGGCCGAGAGATTAGACTAAGAGAGTAGAGAAAAAAGTTTCCACCTGCAACCCGCTTAATTTCTTAAATGATTTGTTCCAACCCACCCCGCCCCACATTACCTTAAGCATGCCCCGCCTCACATAGACTTAGACCTGCCCCGCACTTGTGTTGCCCTGCCCCATTGTCATTCCTAGTGGTCCTTCAGCCTATTAATCTATTTTGTTTTTTGTTATAAAATTTTTATGCTATACAATAGTTAGCAAAAAAAAAAAGATCTCTATTTTATTTTTATAATTTTAAATTAGTACACAAAATATAATTAGCAGTGATGATTACAACCTGCTAAAATTAGGCAAATGAATATTTTAATAGACTGATTAAAAATGTTAAAATGTTAAGATCCCTTCTTCTTGTTTCATTCTATGGACTATGACTATGTAGAACTTGATTCAATTGGATTACAGTTTAAATATTATTGTAATTTCCTTATTCAAGAGCAAATGATAACTACATTAAAAGAAAGACTAATCATACAAGGAAAAAGAAGAACATTCTTGATTTTAAGAAGAATTTCTTTTAACAAGCTAACTAAAATTGTTAGTATTCCTTTTTTTCTTTCTAAGGAGAGCTTATTCAATTGAAATTAAAGTTTAGGTATATCGTCATTTTTTTTTAGTTATTTGATGTTTGATATTCATATTAAGATTCAACTAAATCAAATTCGCGCATCGCAAAATTGACGACACTCCCACAATATTGTTCAAGAGAATAATAACTACATTGATAGTAAAAACAAATGAAACCTAGAAAAAAGAACATACTTTACTTCAAATAAAACCAACATTTTTTTTCATTAATAGAAAAGATTAACACAAGAACAAATTAAGATAGATATCTCATTTCAAGAAGAAAAAAAAAACTTTTTTTCTTAAATCATCATCAATTGCTACTTTCAGCCTCCTTCATTGTTGAATTTTGACCTTCTTAATCTCCTTGTGTTTCATGTCTAAATAAACAAGAAAATCAGGTCTATTATTCTTGTGTATATACTTCATTTTTTCTGCATCTTCCAAGCATGCAAAAAAGAGTAATTCCAGCTTCCTTTCTTCTTCATCCATCTTGTTAGCAATAGAACAAACAAGTTTCATCTTCTCATCCATGTTTGTTGTACAAATTTCACACTCATATCTAGCACTATTTATAGGTAAATGAAGTTTTGTGATATGGTATAGTCTCTACTATTTTTAGCTTCTTCATAAAAAAATCTTAATATTTACAATTTGTTTGATTTTTTTATAAAAAAGAATAGACTAACACTCTATTTGGATCATTGTTATCCATTGTTTCATAATGTATTGTATTGTATTGTATCGTACTCTATTGTACTGTATTGTATGGTAGATACAATGTTTGGCTAGACTGTATTGTTTGTTGTTGTTTAATAACATTTTAATTGTTTGTTTTGATTGTATCGTACTGTATTGTAATTTATAAATTTACTAAAATATCCTTAATTATTCTAGGGTAGGAGGTTTGACTAGAATTAAATAATATAAGGTAAAGGGTAAAATAGTATTTTGAAATATTATGAGATATACATTCGATTCGCTTGCCATGTTAGGTTCTTATCACTAAAAATCGTTAAAATTATAAAATTATAGGTCCAAAATTAATTCTTATCTATACAAATAGTATATATATATATATTTCGTACCGAAAGTATTGAGATTTGAACCCATGGATCGTATGTTATATCATTCAGCACTAGTAATTTTAGTGTACATATTTAGTTTAATTATATGCTAACAAGAACCAGGAATTTCCAGTGTGACAAACTTGGAAATTTTGAAAGATTAAAGCTATATATCTAAAGTGCTATCAATAACCACTTACACTCTGTTTGGATCATTGTTACCCATTGTTTCATAATGTATTGTATTGTATTGTACTCTATGTACTGTATTGTATGATAAATATAATGTTTGGCAAGACTGTATTGTTTGTTGTTGTTTAATAATATTTTAATTGTTTGGTTTGATTGTATCGTACTGTATTGTAATTTATAAATTTACTAAAATATCCTTAATTATTCTAGGGTAGGAGGTTTGACTAGAATTAAATAATATAAGGTAAAGGGTAAAATAGTATTTTGAAATATTATGTAAAGATATAATTGGAAAAAGAAATTAAGTAACAATGGGAACACACCAAATCGGTTGTTCCATAAAATAGGGGTTTTCATTGTTACGTAACAACGAAATTTAACAATACAATACAATACATTTTAAGTAACAATCAAAACAAACATTGTAGGTATAGTAACGATACAATACAATACAATGGATAACAATGATCCAAACAGTGTGTAAAAAGGAATAAAGATGTTAGTAACAAATTGATTAATTGTCAAAATTCTTACTTTTTTTAATTGTTAAAATTCTTATTTATTTTTTTCCACTTTATTAATTTTCCACAATTAAAAATGAATGAGTTGACCAGTTATGCATATTAAGGAATTGTTAAAATTCTTTTTCTTTACATTTATCAATTTTCCAAAATGAACGAATTGATCAATTGTACATATTGATGGATTAAATTGGCAAATGAGACTAAAGGTTAATTCACATACACATGTTGAACAATTTTGAAAGTACATATGTGTGTTTGTTAAGTGAATATAAACTTATGCCCAAAAAATAAATGGAAAGAGAAAAAGCAATGCTATTTTGGATTAGTTTTTTTTGTTTTTTTATATCAACTAGGTAATATTTTAATTTATTTTTTTTCCATATCCTATTACTTCCATTGATTATAATACTTCTAAAGCCTCATTTGTTTCCACTTTCCACTTAATAGGGGTAGAATTAGAGTCCTTTATATTGCAATATACTAAGTGTGTGGAGTACTTTTTTTCCTTAATCTTATTTATGCATGTTCTTAAAATCATTAAGGTGTTGCACTAAAAAATCTTCCAAAAGTAACCTTGTAAACCACTATGTACATCACCACCGCTGGTCATCACCATCTAATTATCACGATCCGCCACCATCGTACAATTGCCAACAACCTACTAGTATTACATTACCACTATCACCCATCACGACCAGCTACCACCTCACAACCATGCCGAACATCACCCCCACTAACTTTCCGAGTGTGGGTACATTGGTTAACTATTTTATAAATAATGCTTCCTCCGTTTCAATTTATTTGTCCTACTTTACTATTTATAGTCTATTTCATAAAGAATGTTTCTTTCCTTATTTGAGCAACTCTTTAATTCTAACTTTTCACGTGAAATGTTTAAAACCACAAGATTAAAAAGTATTTTGATACACGCTGCATACCTTTAGTTTAAAGCTACAAGACTCCTTCATTACTTTCTAAAAATCCAAGCCAAGTTAAAACAGAGGGGGTATAAAACTTAAAATTTTCTCTTAAAAATTGATATCAAGATGAATTACACACATTTAAATGCTACGGATAAACAATCTTAATTATCTGGCGTCCGTATCTAGATACAATATCTTAATAATCATATAGGTTTTCAAATTCAAGCACCTTAATATAAGGAAAAATTACCCAAATGCACATCTTACTTTACCATAATCTCTAAAATTTCCTACCATTTAAAATAATTTCAAAAATTCCCTTTCGGATACATCACTTTCATCTCGTTGATACATCCTTATCCCTCTCGGATACATCCCTCCCCTATGTATCCGGATCCTAACCCCTCTCTGATATATTCCTCCCATATTGGATACATCCCTCCTCTATGTATCCGGATGTCCTATCCCCTGTCTGATAACAAACAAAACAAACAAACAGGGCCCAAGTCTTTTTGACAGTAGGTTATTGTACTGTACTCATGATGAATCAAATCATAAATTCTTATATATGTTGTTGGCAGAATGGAAAATAACAAACAAGATTCAACAAAACAATATTCTTTATCAGAAACAGAAGAAAATTTTCTTTAGGATATCAGATGTATAACACAAACTAAAATAGGTAATTTCCTTTCTGTGGATGTTTTTATTATGCAATGACACACACACTCCTCCCCCTCCCTTCACTGCCTCATCAAATACAGGTAATCCATTTCATCTTTCATAATCCAGACTCCAGAGAGTGAAAATTAGCCAAATGTCAGTTTTCCTTACAATATCGTGCATCACCATTGGTTTATTAATGCCAGTTACGCGATACATATTCATTCTTATTCAAATCTAGCAAGAGAGAGCAACTATCTAAAAGCAATGTTGCAATATAATACATTATTATGTTTTTATATACAAATAAGAAGATTACTTTTTTTGAGAAAGACAAATAAGAAGATTACTCACCAGGGCTAAGAGTGAATAGCAGGCAATTGATCCCTGCAACAGCACTGTTTATAATGCTATGAACACATGTGCATGGGGATGTTGCCGATAATATACATGCTACAACATTATAATTTCTTCAGCTCCTCCTTACTTCCCAAGTAAAACATGATTTACGAAAACCTGTTTATTTCCAGCAGATAACACTAACCTGAGCTTTTTCCCAATCTACACACCAGTTGCTTCCATAATGTATAATGAACACATGATTTTCCTATAGGTTTATATTTAATATGTATGGTATGTTAAGATGTGCTATCTGTCACTTCTACAAGAAACTTCCACTTTCTATTGATAAGGCATACTTGCTCTTTTATCAGAGCACTAAATGAAGAAGAAATAAAGTGTAGACCTATAGGAGCGGCTCGTCGCACTGGGATTGCCTAGTGCTGAATACCTCTCCTATGTGGTTTGCGAGCTATTGGGTGCGCGGCTGCGGGTTTCCCTTGTCATCAAAAAAAAAAAAGTGTAGACCTATAGGCAAAGTTCAATTACAATTCCACAAAGTAAATGCAACAACTCAAAAGGCAAAAGCCCAAACCGAAATACAGTTGAAAGTAAGAACTAAGATCGAATGAAGAAGGAGACGAGGAACTAGATGTAGAGAAAGTAGGATGAGAGATATAGACTTTGCCTAAGCATGATCATAATACGCATAAACTATTCTTTCTAACTAAGGGTCCTTTTAAACTAGTTGCTAATTGGGCCTGGATCCCAAATCAACCTTTGTGAAGGTCTTTTGTTTCAATTTCTCAGCCCAATAGTTGCTTGTGTGACATCCCTATGGATATCGACCCAGGGCTTGGGCTGATTCATAACACCCAAACTATTCCAGCATTAATACTCACTTCACAAGAATGTCTATTTGTGTGTGTAACCGAAAGGATACACTTGACCTTTCATATCATCAGTCTTTCATGAGGAAGAGGAGGTGAAATCTTCTTTTGCTTTATTTATTTATTTATTTATTTATTTTCTCTCTTTTGGGCCATCCTCAAGACCTTCAAGTACATAACTAGGAACTTGGCCATTAAACGCATCTCAAAAGCAAGGGTGGATTTATTGGGTAGATTATGGTGCACATGAACCCATGGTCTATAGGTGAAACTAGGTATTTTATGTACATATTTTATATTCTTTTGAATTGGTATAATATTATCTACTAACACCTATACTCCAAGAAGGCTAAATGGTGCACTTAGTTAATTGTTGAGTTATTTACCTAGAAGAATAGGGATCAATTCCAGTGGTGCACCCATGTTCTAAAAATTCTAGAGCTGCATCTACTCAAAAGTGTTCATGCTTAACAGGCGACATGTATAATCACCCGATAAGAAGACATTCTTAAGCAGTCCTAAACCTCAAAGGGTAACATGGTAAATGTCAATAAGTGAATAAGGTCTTCAGATCAACAGAGTCGATACATTCAGCCCTCTAATTTTTTTAAAACCTGAGTACATATATTTAATAAAGCAACTGAACCTTGTTAAACTAGTAACTAATAAATAATCATGAACGAACTCAATCCTGTATTATCAACAATGTAAAATGCACAATCAAAGAAATGAAAAATTCCAAAAAGCTCCATTTTGCAAAGACAAAACTGCACTAGTAATACTGCACCTTCAGTTTAAGAAAAGCTATCTATATGGACTTCATAAACATGCAAGTATTGGGGGTGCAGCATCTGAACGCTAAATCCTAAAAGTACAAAATACCCCGACCTGTAAACATGGAAAGAGAAGCATAGATAAAAAATATAAGTCTCCCAGTAAAAAGAAAATAAAAAAGATATTGCCTTTCCAAGACATCCAACTGTTAAACTTCACACTGATGCAACGATATTTATTGATTTCAACATGACAGGTCTGCAAATCATGATTACATCTTCAGAAAGTGAAGTGTTTCTGCTGCAGAAATATGACTATTAAGCAAATTGACACTACATATACAACATGATACAACTGCACCAGAAAAGTGTACAACCTAAATTTAATAATTAAAAGCCGAAGCTGATTCTGGATTCTAAAGTAGCAAAGCTCGTGCAAATTTCCATTAATATCTACACATGAAGAAGAATAGGATATAGAGGAGTGAATTACCATTTCTAAACTGCATGCAACTAACAAAACTATTGCCTATATACTCTAGTGGAGCTCTCTTCTTCTCATTATTGATCTTTCATTGAGCACGTGCATTTCTTCTGATGCTCCGTAAGTTCCTGCAGGATTAGATTTCTAAAATGAAACGCACCTTTGGATAGAAATGTGACAATTCTCTTAAGTACATGCTTCACTAGACCAGTAACTACCATTAATCAAATCATGTGACATAACTATATTGAAAGATCTCATAAAGTAATAACTCGTATGTAATTAATCAGAAACTGGAAACAATTTCTGTGCAGAAATGAAACAGGATAAAGGAGACCAGCTAAGAAATTGCATGTGCCTGGCGTTGACTCACCTTTTCTGCTAATGTACAGAAGCTGGGAGCCAACTGGTTGTTGTTTCCGAGGTTATCGAAAGAAAAGATTTGACTACGCCACTTAATTTATTTTTGTCTTACTCACTTCCTTTTCCACAGAGTTTTGGGATGTTCAATCACTGGAGTGAATTCATGAATTACCTGAATCTGCTTCTGCAGAAACTTGACGTATTCAACTGCTTCTTCCAACATGTCGGCTGTGTTGGTTTGCTGTGGATGGAAAAACTCAATGTTAGTCATGAATTGCCTGAAGTACAATAAGAATAGCACAGACAACTAGAAATAAATCAGTCAATCGATTTGCAGCTAATTTCACTGTAAAGTGGTGCAAGTATCAAGATACTTTCTAGTTCATTTTATTACAAACCTTAGTTTTACCAATACATTCTTAATCAAAGAAAATCAAATTTTACCACCCATAAAATATCACGTTATTGTAAGATAGCGTTTCTTCTTTGTTCTGTACATTCTTAACTGCTGATCCTCATTAACCACACATATGACATCTTGTCCAGCACAAAAATATCCAAAATGAGCCAGGCACTGTTTCTTAGTGAAGTCAAAACATTGAGGATCCCATAGACATGATATAAGAATTAGGGATAAATCAGGACATCAGCCAAATTAACATTGAGGTTTAAAAGAAGTTCAATGACGGCAGGCTCAACAAATAATGTAGCGGTGAGAGAGAGAGAGAGAGAGAGAGAGCAAACGGTATAAAGAGAGAAGAGTGAAAGAGATTGAGATGATAAAGAGGGGGTACAATACTACTCAGACTCTAAGATATCTTGAGAATCAAATCAAAGCTATCGTATTCTCCAATCTTGAATGTCCATCAATAGAAGGACATTTTAAATTCTTTCTCAAAATCTAAAATATTTTGGTATGCATTCAGGCAGAAAAAGACATTTTGGTGTGCATTCTCTAAAGAAGTAGGAGAATGCTCTCTTTGTTCTTACTATGTTAAGAACTCATTCTTTTTATATAGTAGGTAAAAACTCATTTATCGACTTAGAATTAAACATATATGGATTCTTTAACCCAGATTTAAATTATACATCAAATCAAGATGTACTTGGTGCACTTACCCATTAAATAAAAACTCATTTATTTTTATGCAATAACATATATGGATTCTTTAACAAAGACTTAGATTATAGATCATGGAATCAAAACCTACTTGGTAGTACTAGTGGTCATTGCCTAAGGTTAAAGAATTGATCTATTGGTTGTATTTTTTGAAGTGTGGGAATGTATTGTTGCTTAAATCTGGCTTTGATGTTTGACCAAAATACTTATTTTGAAATGATACTCTAACCATACTCGAACATATCAAACAACTTAAGAGTAATCTTCTAAAATATCCTACCAATCAATCTAGTTTGCCTAAGATTTGGCCTTTACTTCACCTGGCAATAAGAGGGTTGAGATTTGACAAAATCGAGAATGGAGCTTCGTTAAGCAAAAGCTCAGGGTTTTTTTTAATGCTAAATGGCTATTGTGAGTTCATCACAAATGGATTGGGCATAAGCAAAGGAGAGATTCAATGAGGATAAACAAAATTTATCTTATTCCCTACAATTTCTAAAGATTAGGCCGACTCTAATAATGGTTGAACTTTTGGTGAATAGGTAAGAACTTATCTCTCAAATGGTGAGTAATGAGTATTACATTGACCATAATCAACCCAATAGAAAATGGAAAACCACTTGGGAGGGACTCACTGGTATTACAAAAGTGTTGGCCTTTTAAGTATGGCTAAAACTTGGACGGTTTGTTCTTTTTTTTTTTTTGAGAATGGTAAACTTTACTTCTATATATCCACAGGTGTACTACAACAAAATGTAGTCCCCCATCACAAAAGTTGTCTCTTTACAAAATCCTAATAAATCTAGTTACAGTCAATCAATTGCATTAAAAACAGTATTGGACGATTTGTTCTTCGATTTTTTCTAAATTCATCTTTTAAGATTCAATAGTGTTAAATAGAATTAGCTGTCAGCAAAACTGGATTCAAATGCCATAAAATACGTTTTTTATTCCTCGTAGCTACTTCTCTCCATACATTCGGTAGACTCACCCATTAAGACCATTGATGTCATAAAGAAGTTGATTATCAATTTGATATTAAAGGTGGGTGTCTTGTTCATCATTTTTCCTGTAGAGGGAGACACGATAGAAGTGTGAAAATAACAGGTGTCAAATCCCTCAAACTAGCACAAGTCAAAGCCCTCGTGAAATTGCTATTTATGCACAACTTTGAAAGAAGTACAAGGAACTCCCATAAATAACTTACTTTGTCCATATTTGGCACCAGTTCCTGAAGCTTCCTAATTCTGTCACTTATACGCGTTCGACGAACCTTGCACAAGAGAAGTACGCGCGCAACCTTATTAGACTAATGATTGAATGATTTAAATTGCATATAAACACAGGTAATTACAAGCAAAAAGAGAGAAGGGAAAAAATGCTTTACCCGCTCCGCTATGCTGCGAGGATGGGTAGCACAGCCACGCTTAGCTCGAACCTTACAAGGCACCAAATCATCCATGAGATTCTCCATTTCAGCATCCAGCGACCCACCAGAACCATGTAACTGCCCACTTGACTCTCCCTTCTACACCCCCCAGCACAAACAACCATAAGTATGATAATATTAATAAAAACAACGGAG